ATTCTAAATGAAAAGGATTATACTAACAGCCTAGAAAGTACTGAATATTCTCTTTGTGGGATTGAAGATTCCAACCAGCATTATTGTGAAATTCAGTACTTTTAAAGCAAGAACTATATTAAGAAAATAGCCAGCAACATTTTCTCACTGTCTTAATGCAGTATCTTATCCACAGACTTCAAAATATTTCCAAGACTGTGAAATTAACATTTGATTCAGTACCATGAGTGAATTATCATCTTCAAAAATTCTGAAATGCTGAGCTTAATATTCCATGTATATTTATAATAAAGAGATTTTGACTTTATAGAAATACCAGTTATGGGTAAACATGTCAAAAGAAACCTCCAGCTGGGATAAACGGTCACAGTGGACATTTTAGAATGCTAAAAAGCCACCAGCCCCTACTATTAATATTAAAAATAAATACATATACTTAAAAAAAATAACCAGTAGGAAAATAAAATCATATTTGTTATATAAGGTTTACATTATCAAAATTAGTCATGGATAAACCCCACGTATTAACCCCCACATCTCTCCTGCCACACTCAACATAGCTGACTGACTAGCACAGGTGGAAAACTTAATTGTATATATTGTTAAAAGATGCTCAAGGAATAAAGAGTCCAGCTCTCATAAATGCTCAGAACAAAAGAGAAAGGGAAAAGCAAAGGAACTTGTAAAGAAAGGTAAGGTCAAAAGGGACTCAAGCATGTAAAACATCGTGGTTTATTTTTCAAGTCGTTAGGCAGTACTGTGCAAGCACAAAGAATTAACTTCTATAGATCCTCTGAAGTGGTGCCCAGAATGTTTTCAACACAAATTAAAAGTGTGCTACACAGAAAATAAGAACAGACAGCAGACTTGCAAAATACTTCTAGTAGTTTAGAATATCTAGTAGTTTAAAATACCTATTTAAAAAGATTATAATAGATATTTTAAAAGATTTTAGCCTCAAATATCCCTAGGGCCTCTGTAGCCCCCATTTAAATATTAAGCTAATGAACCCTAGAAAAGGAGCTTCTTCAATCTTGTTTGTCATGGAGAACATACAGAAGAAAGCTACTATGTAATTAGAGGTGTGATGTACACATCTGGTGATGGATCCACTGATGAGCACACAGAATGCCAGAAAGGTTCCTCTTTGACATGGATGTAGTCATGCCAGAAACAGCCCTCGCTGGGAGCAGCATCAAACTAGTCATAATGCCACTGATCAGTGCCAAGATTTCTGCAATAGATTTCACATGGAGAACTGAAGTAGCCTAACTGTATGTACATACACACAGAATTACATGTGACATGGAAAAATGTTGAATGAACATTCAAAAAACCCACCACCAAGCATCCAACACCCTTGAATAACTGGTGTTTGACTTTTGTATATATTTTTGTGTAGTTAACGTGTTTTATTTTAAGGATATTGAGTGGTCACTGAAATTTATTGCAAAGCATTCAGAGTTTTGTCTATGCAGTAGAGCTTTAAATAGAGCATTCTCCTCTCTCACCTGGGAATTCTGCCTTTTCCCAGCCTTGCTGATAGATTTTAAATATTGCTTATTTTGCTTAAAGTGATCTTTTGCATGACAACCAGTGCAACATAAGTCACAAATACCTACATGCAGGAAAAAAAAGGAATTCCTTCAAGGGCTTACTGTTGGTGAAGACAAAAAAAATAGTATTTATTTTTGTGCCCAGATCAATACTATGCGTAATGGTGTGGCAGCATTACTACAACCTCATTTGTGCCTTTCTTGGGGTTAAAACTTTAACAGGAAGGGACAATATTAAAGTGAGAGTTCAATCCCCTAGAAATTCCACCATATAATTACACAACTGCCTTGAACAGAAAATTCTTCCACTGCAACAATGTGTATTATTTTGACAGAAAACAGAAGTCTCTACTGGTTTATTACTTTAATAAAGTTTAAAAGTGACAAAGTGGCACTTACTTGTAGCTAATAAATGACAGATAATAACCTTTAGGCAAAATGAATCAAGAGATGAACTGTCATGAGTATAGCATTTCCACACTCTAGGACATGGGGTTGCTTCAGCCTGCCCCCTGAATGGGGCCACATCTAGTTTAGATTGATTCTCGTTACATTTCTCTGCTGCTGAAACACTGCAGCCCAGAGCTCTTCTGCATATCTGCGTTATGCAGCGGCTAGGCAGATTAGAGAGAGTTTGGCACAATCTTTACCATGCCTTCCGGAGACCTCTCTACAGCTCATATGCAGCAGGCTGAAAACAGCAATACCTGTTGACTTGAAATGGGAAGAAGTATCAGATTCAGTGGCCTAATCTGATACTATCAGCTCCTGAAGAAATGAACTTGTGTTGTGCCTCAGTACCGGGTCTGTGCGTTCTTAGTGACACTCGCTCAAGGATCTCTGCACTGCTCTCCACTGAATGGTGCACTGCCCCAAGGACGGAGTTCACACATTAGAGCAGCTGATGAGCCAGATCCAATCTGTGCATCTGTCTACCTCCAAACTGGTTTATCAGACTCCATTGCAGGTACTATGGTCAGGCAAAACAGCAATTTGTAACAGTCTTGTGACTCACACGACCAAACAGATTCTGCATTTGGCATCATAAACTTTGTGCCACAGAAATGCGTTGTTCCATTAACATGAACGACTACAATATGTTCAATATATACTACTGTGAATACGGAAAAGCATGTTTCAGGAATCATTAATAGCAGGTAACTCTTTGTCAATCGTGCTGCAGTTACACAAGGACAAAACTTTGACAGTATAAGGCACACAAAAAAATTCCAAACCCAGATATTAAAAAAAAAAATAATCTATGGAAGATAAATGTAGTGATGGCACATGGCATACTCCCGGGGTGAATATTTTATCAGTCTGGACTGACTGAAACTAAAAATGTGCTCATGAGCTAAACAGAGATTAGATTATTTATTCATCCCTTCATTAGGAATTAAATAATGAAGACGCAGAGAATCAAAGGGAAAGGGCAGATAAAACAAGAGTCTAACCTTCAATTTTTGTTTTAAAACTTTTCTTTCTTTGAGGCTTCTGAAGTAGAAAAGTTTAGACAAATAATAAAATGTTCAAACTATTTTCTGAATAGTTGGGGAAACAACACTAGACTATTTGTACACAAACAACTTTGAGGCATTTTGCTTTTAATTTGCATACAACTCCTTAAAGTGAATTCCACATGAAGAAGGGTGAGATACAACAGAGCTCATTTATCATTTCACGAGTTAACAGAACACAGTAAACATCTGTCCTTCTTATTAACTAGCTTACATCCCTTACCCCCAACTGGTTACTTCCTGCTGCAAGTTTCCATGCCAAATAAATGCATGGACTAGTTTCAAACTCCACAGACATGCACATATGGACTTCAGTGATACTACAAATTTTAACAGCAAGAAAAAAAATCAAATAGAAAGACTTCAGATGAGCTTATATTCTCTAAATGTTTCCCAAAGGAAGACCCAAAATTTGGAGTACAAAAATACTTCAGTTGTTCAACTCATCATCTGACTGTGGTTCCTCTATGGAGCACATAGCAAAGGAGAAAAAAGAACAATACTTTCTGTCAAATAAAACGAGGCATTAAATCATAGAGAGGTCTCAAAATAACTGCTAAAATGGACTTCCCAAACAAGTTTACCTGGAACACAATTTGAGCACACCCTTTCCTTCTACATACTGATAAAATTTTCTACCTATACAATTTTCATACATTTGACCAGGCTTTTGGCTTCTTTCAAACTGGCAAATACCATCCTGATCAAAATACAGTACAACAGTATTATATCTACAATAAAATACTGGCACGGTGCTAAGGACAGCATTGTCTTTCTTCATGGTTTAATGAGACCAAATAATAGGTTAAACACAGGCTGAAAGGGAAGCAGTAACAAATCTGTCTTGCAGATCTTTCTGATGAGGAGATGGGGATGTGAGCCTATCCAGGTTAAGAAAAAAAAAAAGCCATAAGCTGCAAAGAAGCTGAGCTACCAACATCAGCAGAAAACCCCTATCACGAGATCTGTCTTTGTTTAGGTCTTACAGCAATAAACACCAATTTAGCCTTCTGCCTAAAAATTTACAGGAAGCAGGTTTTTTTGGTGTAGGAATTCTCAACATTGAGCTTCTGTGATGCTGCTCATAGTGAGTTGAATAAAAAAAATTCAAATCAGTTGTGCTGAAGTGGAAAATTGCAGAACTTGGAATTGCATGTCTCTGACAGTAAGGGTTTGCATATGCACACAAGCCAACACATCACAGCAAATCTGTTGATGTCAGTGATTCCATTTGGGATTTGCCAATTTTTTCCTCTCATGGCTGTGGATTCTCCAGCAACTCTACAGAGTCTGAAATATGTCAGTACAGAAGAGACTCTAACAATAAAAATCTTTGTACACTTTAATATTTATTAATTCTCTAGTAATGTTTTGCTATATATTTAACACTAGTGTGACAGAATTCCTGGTAATTATATCTCATGCAGGTAACTTAAAAGAGTTAGCACTATCTAAACTGGTAAACCTACCACTAGGGGGGTTACTTTTGAGTCTACAAGACAAGTATTTCTTTAACAATGACAACTAGGTGGTTATGCATATAACATAACAAGCTCAGCTGAATGTACTTGGCAGGTATCTTAAGTGACAGCACAGCCTTCAGAAGGACTGGAGTGGCAACATCCTTTGTCCTAAATAGACTTAACATTCTTGTTTAAGAGGGCTTGAGTACATTTGGAGCCACGTTGGAAATTGTTGTTAGGAGAGATGGTGTTTCTGTAGTTAGTCAAATAGTATAGCTTTTACTAATTAAAGTTGCTGTGATTTGTGTTCCTTCTTTGACAGGGTAAAATGAGTTATTCACTCCACCTATATTGCTATTGTTTAGGTCACAACACAGATATTGAGAGCATACCATACCTTTCTGCAGCTGAAGACAAAGACTGCTGATAGATTGCTACTATTCCTTCTCTGCAATTCCTTGGTGAGTACTTTTTCATCAATATCAACTATGAAAACAAACTCCCTGGAGTCCAGATTATTTTAAAATATATTACAAGAAAAGTCTACTTGCAAATCACTTATTCTTTTCTCCTATAATACCCACAGGCTTCAAAACAAAATAATTATAAATGAAATTATTAAAAGAATAACAAGAGTTGTGATAGTCTTCTGTTGTACTGGGCATTTCCCTTTTTTAACCAACATACATTCTAGCAGAAATCCCACAGTATGAACCAGATAACTTCAGTTAAAAAACAAAATGCAAACTATTCAGTCCACTGTTAGAGCACGTGTATGTGTGTATAATACTGTAAAAGTAGTCACACATTAGAGGTATATAATTGAAACAGCATTTTCCTTCATGAACTTACTATTATTGAGGCAGTGACAAGGTTTCCATTTCTTTGTTTTCTAAGCTCTTTAAAGAATGGCTATTGCCACGTTTTGTAAACCTAAATACTGTACAAGCAGAAGCTTGTTGGTATCAGGTAAGGAGTAATACTACTAGTGCAAACAGGTGCAGAGACAATTCCTCCAGTTTTGGGGTGAACCAGCTATATAACACTGCAAGAGGACAGGCATCTTCTTCAAACCCACACTCATGCATGTTTCTTCACTCAGACATACATCTTTCTCCATCTTGGTCTTCTTTTTGCAAGGGTAGTTGGGGGAGAATCACCAGCTCATGTGATATTTATCATATGAATGATTTCTTGACTGTTTTCCTATTAATATTATGAATGTTTTATAGCAAGTCAAGGAATGATAAATACCTCAAGCATCAGGAAAGTGACAATAATACTGACTTAATATCTTTAGTAAAAAGTGAAACATTCTCTCCTGAAATATAAGTCAAGGAAGGAACAGGAATGATGAACCTAACACTGTACCATTATTTGATCATCATGCACCTTAGCTGACCAGAGGAGAAAGAACAAGCGTTTATTGCCCTCTGCTCATCCAAAGCTACGACAGACAGTTTATTTAGGTAAGTGCTTGGCATACCAGAATGTTGTCAGAGCAGTTCTCACTGTACTGTCCTCACTTTAGCTTATTTCTTTAAAAGAAAATAAAAAAAGGGGAAGGAAGAAGAAAACAAAAAATATAAAATCTCAGCAGGTTAACCCTCATCTTCTCTCAGTTCGGTGGGTAAAAATTTGTATTGCTGTTGGCGGATCTGAGCCAGTTTTTTCCTTGCCTCTTCCAGCTCTCTTTCCTTCTTCAGCATTTCTTCTTGGGCTGCAATGATCTAGAAAACAGAAGCATGAATTATGACAGCAAGGAATACTGTTTGTAAAACACGATTTCTTTCTCTATGACACCAGTCACAGCTAGGCCTTGAGCATTCTCAATGAATGAAATTACTTCAGCAGG